GGGACTTCTTATTGACAGAGTGTTGAACCTTTAATAATTATAAAAGCAATTTAAAATTTTAGTATCTTATTTATAATAATATTCTTTTGAATTTCATCAATAAAAATTTATTTTTATCATAATAATCTAGTAAAAATGTTGACAATATACTGCACAAATGTAATTAAAATCAATTGATTTTTTTTGTCTATTGTTTACCATAATAGGAGAATTAGTTTTATGTAATAGCCATTTTCCTTTCAACTAACACCAAGTATTTAACTTTATTTATTTCCAGAAACGTAATTACAAAACCAATCTCGTTATATTAAAATGATTTGGTATGACAACCTATTTATAGTTATACCTTCTAATATTGGTTAAGACCAAGTCAAAACACTGCCGGCTAACCAGTTTGAACGACTGACAAGTGAAAGACAAGATAGAATTATTTACAGATTTGCCAAAAAACGAGAAATAAAAAGAAGTTTCTATAATCAAAAAGAAGGAAAAATTTATGATGAATAAAAATACTTCCTCCTGTTTCTCAATTTCAACTCACACGCTATATCTGACGAGCAGCCAAGATGGAATCCACTTAATAACCATCAGGAAAGAAAGTGGGGTCTTAAAATATAAAGAATAATAAGGCAAGGGGTCCTAAGGATCTTCCAATAGGAAGTCTTAAAGCATTGGGAGATGAGGGAATACATTTCCAAATACTGAGAAAGGAAGAGATTCTTCAAAAAGGAAGGGAGAGCTCTCTAGTTACAATTGTCAAAAATAAAAATAATAGACTTAATTGTCATAATTATAGAGGCATATAAAATTAAAACCTACTCTTTAAGATTCTATTAAAAATTAAAAGTCAGGGATCCAAACTGAACCATTAAACTGGTTTTAACCATTATTTATCTAACTTGAACCGTTAAGAATGTTGTTACCTGACTTTAACTTCTAAAAAGGTCATTGAACTGGTTTGAACCTTTATTATTATGAGGGAGGCACCGATACCGTGAACGCTTACAATTTTTGGCCAGTGAAAAACGAACATAAACTAATTCCTTTTTTCTTCAATATATCTAACCATTGTGCAAAATTTCAAATGATTTGAAATATGTATAAATTTAAATTATATACCAACTACATTATTATTTTATGATATTGGATATCGTTGTTATCCACCGTTGCACCAGGTTAATATCGATTTTGGTGTAGGTATCAGCTAAAAACGGGGGTGCATCTATGAGTTATCAATAAATTCTGATTGCTCAATCAGTATCAGGCGCCATTTTTATAATTAATAAATTTTTTTATCATAACAATTTGTTATTTTATAAGTTCGGGTTTTTTGTATGTGCAATAATGATAAAAGAGGAAGCGTATGTTGCTTTATGTAATGGAAGTGATTAAATTTTTTAAAAATATGCTTTTTATACATATTCTAGTGAGTTTGTATGCCCCCGATACTATTATTTTTGTGAACCTAACCTGAGCTCTAAACAGTTTTTTTATATCCTTAACCAATCGAACCTATTTTGATCATGTTCGGATTCCTGGTCGAAATAGGCGAAGCTCTGTTTAACTTTCTGGAATCAACGGCTAACGTAATCCATGAAAAATGATATATAGAGAAAGTAACGGAAAATTGTATACAATGATCCAAAACACAAATGGCACATCATCCGACTTCCCTGTAGCCTCGGGAGTTCGTCAAAGGAAGAGAATATTTGAACACTTTTTAAAAAAATTATATTCTCTTCAAAGATAAATATTGAAGGTTGATGACAGATTTACTGAAATAATGTAAGTCTTCGAAAGACACAATAAATGTTTCTGTATTGTGAGTTTTATTTTGCAATAGGCTTTGTTGTAAATGCCTCAAGATTCAATAATTATTATAAACCAAGTCTAGTTGGTCACGTTTGATATAAATTGAAATATAATTATTTTTCCTCTAAATAACCAATTCTTTTTTTTTGTTTTTTTTGTAACAACATAAAGATGAATAGCCTTTCGGATTATAATGGGATAATTTATTGTGACAAAAAGATTATTTCGTTTTATAATGATTACTTTTTTTTGTTAGTTTGATTTGATACTTTTTATTGTAAAAAGTTTTTGGCCACAAAATATTTGAGATTGCCAATGTTATAAGAAATAAATGATTGTAATAAAAAAAATTTCTATAGCAATATATATTTCTTAATAACAACCGATCAAATTATTTACATTTACCATCCTTCTTTTCCTTTTATAGATCCTACCATAAGTATGGACTACTAACAGGTTTCAACTGTTAATAATCACTCATAATGAACATGTCCAACCATTAAATATAACAATTCCGCTCCATTCCGGTTCTTATTTATAACGGTTCGGGTTTCTCCTTTCAAAGTATTTGTATACCTATTTATTTCAGTTTCGTTGTTCGGTTCGACACCATGCAATGATATAAACAAGATACGATTATGCTAAAAAATATATTTAAAGATTACTCATTTTTAGTATATATTTTTCTATAATCAATTCTTATCATTTTAGATAAATTTATATATATATTTTTTTCCTGATTTCTTTTTCATACTCGCGTTTATTGGGGATGAGAATTAAAAAAAGAACAACACGTTTGAGTATTCGTCATATCGGGGCAAAATAAAATTACTATTTTATCTTTTTTTTTAGTTTTCTTTCAGTCATTGTCCATAGTAGTGTTTAAACGGCCCCGATTTGGATCGATTTTTAAAAACGACCAGATTAAAATTTTAGCCAGAATAATATTATGCAAGCCTCGAGATTGACAAAAAAGAGGTCTAAACCTTTCTGCCATCTATGAGCGAAATATCCAGGCTTACACAATATTATTTTAGCTTAAATCTTAATCCGACGTTTTAAAAAATCGGGCCGTTTAACATCAGTAGTCCATAGAGCGTTAAAAAAAATTTGATTTTTTATATGAATTAAGGATTTTAGAATGATAATTAAAGTCATAAATCACGGATTTCATTTTAAATTTTAATAAATATTAAGTAAATTAATAAAATAAAATATTTCGTTTACTTAAAAGTGTAACACCCCATCAACAGTTTACAGGGTAAAATAGTATATTTGTAATAAAGCATTAAAAAAATAGAATAATATATGTTTATATTTTTGCACATTACTTACTAAATGACGATCTCATACTATCTTACCCTATATATAAAAAATTAAATTAATTTAATTGATTTATGAGTTGAAATGAGAGAACATTTTTCATAACGGTTTTTAAGTAATGTTACCAGCAATTTTTTTATTTCCTAACAAAAGATGATAATTTTAATCTGTCGAATTAATTTTTTTAAAATAATATAATATTTTAATATATCTGCTCGAGCCTTATTTCAGACGCCATTTAGTCGTAAATAGAAGACAAACTGGTTTGATTTTTATTAACGATTTAAATGTGGTCTGAAATGGGGCTCGTTGAGCAGATTTTTTTAAAAAATATTATATTATATTTAAAAAAAATTAATTCGACAAACTATTACTTTTGTTTGGAAATAAAAAAAAAATGCTGGTATTACCCAAAAATCGCATTGGAAAAACGTTTTGTCTAGAAGTGACCTATAACTTCTCTTGCTTCGGTTTATAAATAACTTCATTTTTTACAGTACTGTTGTTAAAAATCTCGATTTAGCCCGTAAACCAGATTTTCGCCTGAAATATTACCTTAATTAAGCTTCCAAATTTGGCCAAAAAAGAATCAAACCTTTCTACCATTTTTGGGGAAATTTAGACATTTCGTTAATATTTTTTTGGCAAAAATTTTGATTTCGTCCTTTTTTTTAAAAAAAAAATAGGCTAATTTAAGGTTTTTAACAACACTTGATCGATCAATTATATTTATGAAGCCCTTATTTTTGAAACGAGTCAGCTTTCTTGAAGAATTAATAGGTTAAGTCTCGAGACATGTATCAACTAAACCTTTGAGGAGTCGGCCAAAACTAATCGAATACATAACACTATGATAAGAACATACCTAATTTATACCAAGGTTGTGAATTATTTTACTGTGGGCGTTATTAAACTTGAGATCTTTGAACGAAATTATGGGTCGATAAATAGCCCGATTAAGATTTTAGCCAAAATAATATTAGGTTAAGCTTGGAAATTTTAATAATAGATGATAGAGGTTTGGACCTCTATTTGCTAAATCACGTGCCTTACATAATATTATGTTGGCTAATATCTTTATCGGGTCGTTTTCAAAAATCGACCCCCCCCCCCAAATTGGGCCATTTAACAACACTAATATATTCCAACGCCCTATAAATTTCAGGTATTTTTCTTCATGAATTTTTTGGTGTATTTTATCGAAATTTTTATAAAGAATCCCTATAAAGATTAATATAAAGTTTAGAAATAGTAAAGTTATTAGCATAATGGCCTGAAATTTACGGTGTGGGGAACTAAACATACCTGGAATTTATTTAATGTCAACTTAATTAAAAATTTTATTATATATTATCGAAATATAACCCGGATATATATTAATTTGTGTATAATGATCATAAATTTTTAAATTATTACTAATATTCATAAATTCGTTTTAAATTGTTAATTATAAACATCTTTTTATCTTACACTTTAAAAAAATATCATTGGCTCTTTCCTATTATTTCTTGTATTATAACATTTCTTTTGTTAGAAGTTATATAATTTTTGAAGTTATTAAAATGAGTGTCCTCGCGCTCTTTGTTTAAAAAGATGATTTAGAGACGACATTGGTTTAATTAATGTACACAATGAATCGAATACTATTCATTAATCGAATAAAGGATAATATTATGTCTAACCGATTTAACAATAGATAATATTTTATTTCGTATCTTTGACACTAAATAATCTTAGAATATATAAAAAACCGGTCTCATAAAAATACAATCATTTTTTAAAAATATGATTCCTATTTTATCACATAACGCTACCTTATTATAACCCCTAAAATTTTAATATATTTATATTTTTCTTTATATTAGCTTCGGCACAAAATACGACCACAAAGGTGAAAGCACGCCTATACCCTCCTCCAAAAAATTAATTTCCCACGTTCCCTTCTTGGGAGTTTATGCGGAAGCCGGAGACTCGGCGGTGAACGTGGATATGCTAAACGGCTCCGCTTCTACCATCAGTTGCGGCACAGCTTTTCACGGGGGAATCGGGTTACCCCTAAGAAACCAGCGCGATGAATCAGGTAAGTTTGCTGCTTTTTTTTCTCTTTTTTTTGAATAGATTTTATCGAAATTTTTTAAATGAGCAGAATTCAAATTGAGAATATTTGTCGATATATTCTCAATGATATTATTTAGAAATTCATTTTCAAGTATTAAAAATAAAATGGAAAATCTGACTGGGGCTGCCATGAAAAATTAATAATTTTTTTTATATTTTATTTTGCCTTATTAAAATGCTTTTAATTTATATTTTTAAAATTAAAAATTTCGAACCGGGTGGCCTAAAAATATAAAATGCATATATATATATCGGGAAAAATACAAACGTTGTTTTTACTGATTTTATTATATTATATTTTTTTATTACAATCATCTTAAATTATTTTATTCACAATGATTTTATAATTTGCCCATTTTGTTATTAAAAAAAACTATTTTTGAATTTTTTGGTAGAAAATTTAATTAATATTATATTTATTAAATTTTTTGGTTTGTTTTTTTCGCCTTTTTTTTATATTTGAAACAAAATTTTCTTAAAATGTTCTTTTCGTTTTTCTACTTTTCACTTACAAATATAAAATTTATCTTATTTTACTCTAGGTTAACTGACCACACTTTTTCATTATGAAAAATTTATCACTAATATCATCCATATATTAAAATCAAAGTATAAAGCTGAAGTTTATTATGGTCTCTGATAAGATGCATAACAAACTAGTAAAGTTTAAAATCTCATTTATAAAAAATATATGGTTCGGTAATAACTAGTGTTGTTAAATAGTCAAGTTCACTCGAGTCGATAGTTAATTAAAGTTGACAACTCGAACCATGAACTAGAGGACGAATATTTCATAACTACTTAAATTAAAAAATGATTTTTATTTTCGTTTTTTAGAAATAAAATTAAGAATCGGGTAAGACCCGCCTAGCTAATTTTTTGAATAAAACCTGCGTTTTCTTATGTGGTTAAAATTTTTATTAAAATCTAACAATATATAATTTTATATATTTTGTATATGAATTATTAAAATCGAATAATCATTATTTTAATTATATATTTGTATATAGATGTGACATCAGCTCAATAAATTTAACTCATTTTCTTTATTGAGATTGTAAGATATATCTCATATCAAAATACTTTTTTAATCGATGTATCTAGTGATTTTAAAAACGGCTGACTCAGTATTTTATCCAGAAAAATATTAAGCAAGGCTTGAAGATTTTGTTCACAGATAGCAAATAATGTTAGCATCTATTCGCGAAATATCAAGGATTCGGTAATATTTTTCTGACTAAAATAATTAGTTAAATCAGCTCAAAAGGGGATTTTTTGCATCAAATCCAGTTTTAGACGATGTATCTGGATCCATTTTAACAATATTTTTTAACAATTCTGCTAATCAGCAAGAACGGAGAGATCTGTTAAACACGGCCCTGCCCGGGTCTATTTTTTATATAATTTCGGTTCGAGCTGGGCTGGCCCTAATATTTTTTTAAAGAGTTTCGGGCCCGGTATATTTTTAAATATGATATTACATTTAAATTGATATATTAATTCTTGCAAGAATTTGGTAAATAAAAACGCAAAATAATCGGATTTTAGTTTTAACGCTATTATTCACGTATATAGCCTCCCTTTTTTAAAAAAATAAATTGCTATATATTTGGTATAATATAGGATTTGAGCTATACTACTTATATTTAAAGTGTAATAACTGTTCTAGGTATTTATACAAATATTAGGAAGTATAATATGTATATCGACTGGTACTGTCTACATGCTGAAATATGGTTCCCACAAAATCTCAAAATTAAAAAACGAGCTTCACAAATTATTTTAAGTTTCAATAATTTGAAGCATGGCCTTGAATTTGGTAAACCTCTTAGGTCATATATATGCATATTCTAATTTTTATGCTTGTATTAACCTTCTATCAGAGTTAATAGTGCAATAGCTATTTTGTAGCGATAACTTCGTTATTTTTGAAATTTGGTAGCCGTCGCCTATATATTTTTTTTGACTTGGCTAATTTATAAATTTGAATTGTATATAAAATAATAATTATAAAAATTCTGTTATATAACACTGTAAGGAAGAAGTTAATATTCATAATAATAATATTAATTTTCAATATATGATTTTTTATAAAAAAAAGGATATTAATTCAATCGTTAACCTCTTGGAGGCTTCTTTTTTCCCCTTTAAATAACTAACTAATATATTTTCGATAATTTTTCGCTTATATTAATAAATACTCTTATAAAATTAAATATTCCAATTTATTTGAAAGGAGAACTTATAATTTTTAAAAGCTTGATTTTTTTTGAATAATTGTTGCACGCGATTTTAAAAGTTGCTTTTGACAACACCGACTACTATTGAGGTCCCTATCAGCCAAACTTTATTTACTCCTTTTTATATGCGAGATTACTTACCCTTCCCATTCCTGATCTGGAGACGAGGGCGAATGTTTTAATCACAATGTTACCGGAGTACTGCGTATCTTATCAATTGTTTTTTTAATTCTCGCTTATTAATATCGTCATTATCTTTATGTTATATTCACACCGACGCCTTTTTCTAATGTTGATAACGCAATTTTTTATTCATAGGTTTACCAAGCTTGGAATAAATTTGAAGTAATATGCCACTAATCCTGAAAATATTAATCGCTTTTACATTTTCTAGTTCTTATCCTAACTATATTCGACATTTTGTGATCCCGTTGTTGTCCAGACATTCATTGCTTTATTTCAGGTCCTCCGAATCCGAGTGTGGGTTCAGAAAGTTATCAAAATTTGGTTGGGTATTTTGAGAACAGACAAACATGGTCCGATCATAGACAACCCATTAAACCCTGAATGTTTTAGAACCATGGCGGGTTCGGACCCCTTCAGGAAATCTCCGATTAAGTTTCTGTTAAAAAAATTTCCAATAAATACTGCTTTTTTCCAAATTAATTTCATGTTTAACTCTATCTTTTCAGTTTTATAAAGATCTCGTATTTTATGGGGTAGATTTTCATCTTTTTGTGGGTGACTATTATTTCAGATGCGCATGATGAATAATATATTTATTTTTTGGGGTAAATGTTAAAAACAAGAATACGATTTTAACTTGTAATTTATTAATATTATTTAAAAAGACAAACAGTAGTTAAGGAAATATAAAATATAATAAATATTTATCGGAGATGTACCGATAAATACATTCACAGTATCGATGTCGGCCGATACTTTTGAGTTTAATGAATATCAGGGGCTGATACCCGAAATTAAACATTATTAAGCTATTAACTTCTTTTTTTTAAAATTATCATTTACAAATTTCTAAATCGATAAGAAAGAAAGTCCTGTTAATTTTTTTCCTATTTCTTTTTACTTTTATTAATCTCATAAATTAATTATAAAATATTTTATAAATTAAAAAATGATAAATATTGATAAATTATATTTTCCTTTTTTATTTTACCAATGGATTTATTAAATTATTATATTTTCGTATCGTTTTGGATCTCCGATAATTATCGTTTCATCGAAGATACATTGGTTTAGTTTAGCATAAACCTACTACGTTCTTTTATTATTTATGATTCTGATTAGGTTAAACTATCTGGAGGGGGGGGGGTTAATTGAACTATTTATATATATTTATTATACAGAAAAGGAGGAGAGAAAAAATTAAGCACCCTTTTTTGTCGGGGAGAGGTGATTTCGTGACAAAATTGATAACGAATGCCTTATGTTGAATTAGATTCTTCATATCTCCTTCCCACCCACCTCTGCATTTATGATCATTCTTTATTATTTAATGTCATGTAACGTCATGAACTTCCTCTCAAATAGGTTAACCGATCATGTTATTTATCCAGAATTTGATGTTTGGTTTGCGTTATTAAAAAAAACAATAGTATATAAATTTGAATATTTATTTTTTTTAAATGTTTTTTTGTTTGTGAATATACTTTCAAATTCTCCGAGGAGTATTTCATAAAAAGATGACATCATTTTTCCTTTTTTTATAAGTACGACAATTGGATGAACAAAAATTACTATTTTTTATATCATTTTAAAACAGTTTTATATTAAAATTGCGATTGGTGTAATTCCATACAAAATGGATATTTTTTATAAAAATAATAGATTACATTTTGGTTATATAATAGATACATAGTCTGCCAAAATAGGATTAGCCATTTTTTTTGGGTATGCTAAAATAAAAAAATAATCCACTTTGGCAGATAGAGTATCTTATTACCAAATTCCTTTTTTTGATCAATACAATTTCTTTTTTCCAATTTAAAAAATTAAATTAACTTTTTTTTCGAAAAAATAAAAAAGTACATAATAAATTTTTTATAAACTTAAATTTGTCAAAATAGAATTTTTTTTAAAAAACTTAATATTATGTCACACCCTGTAAATACCTAATTTTTATATATAAAGGGCCTATTTGTCGCTGTCTCAATGCTTACTGATTTTTTTCAGCAAGCTCCTGTAAATTGGGAAGATTTCTAGCTATTTTCCAACTATACTGTACCAAAATAATAAAATAATTTTTTGAAGTGTTATTAGCCGGGAAAAAATATTTTATTTAAAAAAAAATACGAAGCCAACTAACTAAATATATGATTCCCGATTCAGGGCTTAAAATTGATATCTCAGCGCGTGCACGTCTCTGATTCCCCTCCCGATCTTAATTGGTGACTCCTAAGATGGTATCCCGATAATAAAATCTTTGAATCAAAAGAAATTTTTATTTAAAAAAGTCAAAAAATCTTTTCTTATTTTTTTTTATTCTTGTATACAATATTTATCTAAAATTTATATTTTCCCGAATTCGATTCGATCATTATAAATTAAATGTCAAGGGATTCCTTTTTTGTTGTAGGGGGGGGGGGGGGCTTCATTTTAGAAATATAGAAAGGTTAATTTAAAAAATATTAACTATCGAATTTTTTTAAAAAGAGGAATTGTGAAACGTTTAGACCTTGAAGAATTTTTTTTTAAATAACCATTAAAGATTAAATAGATATAATAAGTTTATAAATTTATGACTAAATAAGTATTAAAAAATATAATATAGATAAAAAGAATAAATTAAAATGTTTCTTTCTACTAAATTAGTTGGTCCTAGTATAAGTAGGTGTTTTCGAATCTGGAAAGACCTTATATACCTAATTTTTTAAAACGAAGAATAATGTTGTGTGGTTAAATGGCATTTCAGCAGATTTTTTAAAAGGCGAACTCAATATTTTAGCCACCTTGTCCCGCCTATGAACAAAATCTTCAGACTTGCGTAATCTTTTTCTAGATAAAATATTCAGCTACACTAGACCAATGGATCTTCTCTCTGTTGAATCCTCTTCTCCAAATTCAGCATAAAATGAAGATTTTTAAAAAATCCTTAAACTATTACCTAGTTTTTTTTCCTTTTTATAGTTCTAAATAGAATGTGATGATTAGACTGAGAAAAAAAATAGTAGACCAAAGAATCCTTTTTTCAAAATTAGTATAAAATTGATTTTTTAAAAAAATAATAAAATTCTTAGGCCCGTCTAGATCAATTTAATTTTTTTTTATTTTCTGAATTCTATTCAGAAAAACAGCCTGGACACCGTTTTTTTTGCCTTTTTTAATATCGATATAATATATTCAAATACGCTTAAAGGTGTACTTATTTTTATTTTTTAAATCGAAAATATCACTATTCTGAACAGATATTTATTCTAAAAAGAGAAGTTAGAACGTAAATAGAAATGTGATTTTTAGCCAAAAAAATAAGAATAAATATATACCTTTACATGTAAGCGTATTTTAATAGGATCGTCCCTAAAATGTTCTAAAAAGAGAACTAGAAATAAATTCTCTAGACTGCTTATCTGAAAAGAATCTTTATTCGGAAGAAGGATACGGGCAGATGTATGAAGTTTAGAATTGAATTATTATAAATTACAGTAAAATCTGTATAATTTCGCTATCGTTGGGACCAAGATTCTTGCCCAACTTATACAGTTGCCTAATTTATCAAGACATTTTACCTTCTAATAGTATTTAATAGGAATTTGGGTTTCAAAATTTTGGCCAAATTTAGGGAGTTGGCTAAATTATTAATAGCACAAATTTGACTAATTTTATGTATATTATATAGCCTTTACCTTTATTTTATGTAAAAACTAGAATTTGCTCAAAAAATCGCATAAATCTTCAGACCCTCGAGAAAATTTTTTTTACACTTCCCAAAGAAATATAAAAATAAACTACAAAAGTACTTTAAAAAAATGATTAGATTGACGAGATTGATTTAATGTCCGACTGCACATTTTTTCAAGTACATAGGCTTAGCCAGAGGGGGGGCAAGGGAACATCTCCCCTTTGGAAATTTGCCTGTTTCTACCCCCCCCCCCCCCCCCCACCTACTTACTCTACATGACTATTCAATTATTTTATAAAAAATAAGTAAAAGTTAATAAAATTTTTATTGGAAATAATGATAATTCAATTTTACAAAATTTAAATTTTTTTAAATACAATTATAAAAAAAAAGCTAGATCATCGTCATGCATCTACAAACTTAGGAAACGTAAAAGCATGGAGAACATGGAACCTCTTGATATGAATCAAACACCAACAGATCGAGTTTTAATTAGTTTATTTTATATTTATTATTAAAAGCAATTCCTACTTATTGTAAAACTTAATGGAACAAGACGAAAACTTAGACCCATGTTGTTATTAAGAAGATTTTGTATATTGATATCCCGTGCTAGTTAAAATAAATTCGTTTGCCAATTTTCTCTCCGAATTCAGGAATTAATGTTATTAAATATGCGCGTTCAAAATGCTTTGCTCAAATTGGTAAAACTAATTTGCGTTAAATAACATTAATTCACAAATTTGGCATAGAAAATTCGTAACTAAAGCAAGGGCGGGGTATTACTACTGGAAATTCGGATAATCAGGAGATATGTGTAAACCCTTCTAAACTTGAACTAAAATTTAAAGGTAGGTATTTTGCGCATGATGGAACACATTTCTGATTTAATAATTTTAAATTTAGAAAACGCGTTAAATAAACAATTTTAAGTTGAAAAATAGTAAATTAATTTGTTGGGCAGATCCTTTTAAATTTGAAAATCTGTCATTTCTGAAAATATATTCCGGTATTATGTAAAAATATATATCAATTTCAGACAATTTAGTCATGAATTATTGAGTTATTTTTTAATTTTTATATAACTAAAATTACACGGATTGACTCAAATACCAGTACTCATATTGCCGGTATATATTGTATAAATAGCTGACTTGAAGAACGACCCGAAATGGGCCAAAAATTTTATGATTTTGAAAATCTTATTCGGGCTTAAATTAAAAGAAAAATTATAAATGAATCCTTTTAATCATAATTTCAATTTCCCTTTGTAACGCCAAAATTATTCAAAAAAAATAAAATAATTCCGTGACCAAAAATTCATATTTTCAAAAAAGGGTTGAAAATGAATTTTTTTTTTGAATGCGAGCCTAGCTCGAAAAGGCGGGCCGGGCTTTAACATAAAAAATTTTCAAATTCGGGACGAGCTTAAAAATGGAAAAATTTAAATTCGGGCCGGATTTTAAAATGGTTTTTTTGTACTCGTGGGAAATAAGTGAAGAAATCTAGAAGAAAAATTAATTTTAGGTTGTATAACGACGAATTTTCTCGATGCACCGGTATTCGTAGTACCTGTCGGTATGGTTTATGGTCGATACTTTTAATTTTAACCGAAAATGATATTTAACCATAAATTTTATTAAAAAAATTTTTTTTGTCTCTACATGAATATATGTCTTATTACTGTTAAAATTTGTATATTGTTAAATCAGAGAAATCGGTGTAACAAATAATAATCAAGAAATAAATAAATTGGTCAGTCTGCCAAATTTAAGTATTTAATAAATCGATATAAGTGTGCAATCATTCTTTCTAAAATAATTTTAATTAAGACAGAGATGATCATAAGCGAATATCATACATTTTGCAACCAGCAAAAGAGTTAAAAGGGTTTTTTTTTAATTTTCTCTACCATCAGTAGATAATTTAAGGTCTTCATAGATTATCATCGGTAATACGCTTTTTATTTATTTCCTGCGTTCAAAGTTTAAAGACCTAAATTTTTCGTCATATTGCATGTTAGCGCGAACACAAAACAAACACCCCAAGCATAGATGACCATTCACGGGGTCTCGTTCAGTGAAAGTATAATGCTGAGATAATTGTACCTTATTATGTTTATAGCCAGCCTTCGGCACAGGTAGTAACCCTCGTTAGGATCCTCGGTCCTAGCATAGATCCGGTGCCCCAACTCTTTAAAATAGCCTAAGGCATGAGAGCCGAACGACATTAAAATCGTGATGATTATGGGTAGAAATGTATAATTGGTAGGTAGTGACGGCGAATATTTAGCGAAATTTATTATAAAAAAATCATACTGAAAAAAAGGAAGAAGGTGCTATTAATTTTTTATTTTCCTATTTATTTTAATTTAATTTACTTTTATAAAACTAATTGTAGATGATAAAATAAATATATAAAAAAATGATAATATTGATGAATGATATCCTCGCTTTTTTTCCAATAAATATACTACATTCTTTTTTTGGTATCGGTAGTCATCGGAATCGGTATCAGCTAAAATGGTGGCAGCGGTGCATCCCTGGTGTTCATCAATATTATAATATGGCCTTATTTTAAAAAAGTTATCATCGAGATAATTTTTTTTTAATTTTTGGTTTTACAGGAATAATCTTAATATATAAAAAAAAATCATGATATTTTAGTTTTGTCTTTCTTAATCCTTATTCACCTCCCTCATCATTTATTTTCCAGGATTCATATAAATAATTCCACGATAAAAAAAAGAAATATAATTTTATAAAAAAGGGTTAGGTAGCTTTTACTTTTAGAATAAATATAGGAACAAGATGTCATTGATGTGTGATGTTGTTCATTACAAAACCATATAATATTTATTTTTTTCATACACACTATTCATGGCATTTCATTTCTCAGAAGAATCGCATGAACGCGAACAGTCCTTTCAATATGGCTGACGTCCACGATACACCAACCAATAATCCCAAACAGGGAATCAACCTAAATGTTTGTTCCAAACCCGAGTCTCTCAATCTCTATACGAGTGGAGAAGCCAATATCAGTGGCGGAACTAACACCCTCGGAACTATCAATGTTGAAGAAAATGGCAACCACGGCGATGAAGAGGTGGATTTTTTTGACTACGTGGCCCGTTTTCAGAGCCAGCGCATGAACGACCAACGATACGATGGACCCTCGACAATCAACTTGAGCCTTGGACAGTCTTTTATTAAAAATGAGGACGATGGTTGCGTATCTAAAATCGGGACGGATGTGAAAGGTTGCAATAAAGGAGCGGGCAAGGAGGGTAGAAGGTTGAGCAGTCTGTCCAATAAATGGACAAGTGTTACTCGTCGCAGCAGAAAAGGGAAGGAAGACGGCAAAGGAAAAAAGGACTCCAAATATATAAGTGAGCTATTTTTTTATCTATCATATTTCTGGCTCTAAGTATGGAGTATTAAATTGCTAATCTAAGATTTAAATGATGGCATGCTTATGAACATAAAGGTAATAATTTTATCAACATTTTGTTCGAATTGCTAATCTAAAATTTAAATGATGGCATGCTTATGAACATAAAGGTAATAATTTTATCAACATTTTGTTCGAAATTTGTTTATTTTCTATCACTATCATCATCTTTCATTATGTCATTAGAATTTGGAGATCTATATTTGACTTTTTTTACAAGAAAACGAGATAATTTTTTAGGTAGATATTTCTAAATTAAGAATATAAAGAGTGAGTGATATTTGCATTCCAAAAGAATTTATAATTGAAATTTTTTTTTGATAATATTTGTAGAAACAATTTAAGAAAGATTAAGCCGTAAAACACGAAGATAATATGCAAATATATTTAATAAGTACAATATACTAAATATAATTATGTAAATTATCTAAGTATATAAGTGGACAACCAAAATAATATGTAATTATACAAGTATGAATTTACTTTATTTTTTTTACTGCTGTAAAAACCCCATAAATGTGAAGGTTGAAAACTAGTATTTATTACCAGATTATAACATTATAAAAAAATTAGTAATAATATATATTTTTTTTAAATCCTCATGTTAAATAAAGTAACTTTGGCCAACTCTAAAACGGCTTCCGCTAACTCTAAAAAGGCTTACGCTAAGTTATTATATTTAAAAAAATTCTTTCAAGTTGATGAGACAACCTAGTGGTCAATTATTTTTAGGCTAAAAGCTTGGCTATATTATTTTATTTCTTAAGATTTTATAAATCGTAATCTCTCTTTAAATATCTATATTATTTTATTTTTAAAAAAAATTAAAGGCCAAGATATAAATCTAGAACATAAATTTTCGGTGAAGGATCACAACAGCTACGTGTCTAAGCACCGAAAGTCCATGTCTTTCTTCCCTTTCCATTTATGTATGATATAATACAAAAAAAACAACATAAAATTTTATTTATTTATCTATATTTCATTTTTTTTCATCAATATTAAAAATGTTTATATTTGTTTAAAAACTAAATGAAACATTTAATTTTTTTTATAAATATCTTCGAATTTGAACTTTTGATTTTCTATTTACTATTGTTTTATAATATATGATCGATATAACGCAGCAAAATCTAATGGGAACAACGTTGAGCACACTCTTATGGATCGTAAAAGTATCAAATTAACCTATAGTGCTGGCAACAAAGTATGCAAAAATATTTAATAAGCGGAAAATAATTTTCCATTTTTTGGAGGTTTTCCGTGATTCAAAATATTTATACATTTAAAAAGTGAAAATAAAATCCATAAAACTTTATTAATAATCTTAATATAGAATTGGCTTTTTAGTTTAAAAAAAAATAAGCATGTTTTTTTACCAGTATTGTATTGTTAAGTAATTTTTAATTCGAATATATTATAGAAATAATTTCCTAAAATATACACGAATAACTTACATTAGCTAAACATGATACATATAAATATATATATCATTGATTTATTGTTCCATATACTTTCATGCCATATAGTAAAAATAGATATATTTTTATTTTTTTTTCATTCCAAAACAAAAGGACCCTTCAAAATTTTTATATAACCTTTTTATATATATTTAATATTATTAGCCTATTAAGCCAGAACCTAACTTTAGCGTTCAAAAGGATGAAAATAGCACAGTTGAAGCAGATGACGAAATTATTGATTTGGTGTCTAAGATGCAAGGTGATATTATTAGTCAAAAATATAATTTAAATGTTTTATTTTAGAGCAACATAATTTTTTATTTTAAAAATGTAATAATTCGTAAGTAACAACAAACGAAAGATTTTAAAATAATAATTTTTTTCCCCATGATTTTCCTGTAGAGGGCAAATCCTTTCCACTTATAGGAAACGGAATTATATGGATGGATGATAAGGGTCCCCTCATACGTATCATCATTTGAAATAACTATCTTTGGTGGGAACTTAATTCTGACCAACATTTAAATTAAAGTTCATTATTTCTTTAGTTGGAAGAATCGATGATCAAAGATCAATTATGCTCGGATAAACTAATTAGCAAATCGCATAAGAAATAATTTTAATAATTTTGTTCTTCTTTTAAAAATATCTATTCCATATATTTATAGGCAAATCGCTTTATAATTCATTAAATATATTTGGATTGAAATTACACATATATGAAATATATTAATATAATAATCTATAAAATATTTTATAAAATTTCAAATATAGCACATCTAAATGATAGTTAGTTAACTTGTTAAACTTTTCTAAATATAATATTTAAAAAAAATTTAACATTTTAAAAAATACTATAATACTCATATTTTAAAAGCATTAATTTAATATACAACTTTTTTTAAAAAGTATTTTAAAAAATTGTTTGGAAATAATGTATATTATGTTATCATCTCACTCACCTTAAGTATTTAAAATTTTGGTGTTCCCTAAATACTTGATAATATTCTTAACTCATTGAATCTTTAATTATTAAAATTTCTTAATGTTTTGAATATAATGATGAAATTAATCGCTTGGTTCATTGCATATTTATTCCACCACCCGTTAATGTTATTTCTTATGTTTTTATCAAAGTTTATATGTATATATATTTATGTAAATAATCCCAATTAAATTTAATATCGCGCAGGCTTTTGATTTGAAACTCAATCAGCGCAAGTTTTTTATTATATATTACCATTCAAAATTCCAATTCATTTATATATTATCTTTAAGAACTTTATATTATAATATAATGTATTAACAGACTTACATTTATAACGAAATTAATCCTTGGAGGTCATGTTTATCCTAAAATTTTAATTGATTTCTTATAATTAAAGGTATGATAACAACAATAGCTATCATAACATTTACATTATGGTGATATAAAACTTATATATTAAAAAATCATATATTTAAAACAAACATTATACTATTATATTTAATATTGATTGATATTACAGATTGTTGATTTACCATTTTATATTATCATTTTCTGCTGTTAAATATTTTATTTATTTATAATGAAAAATGTAAAAAAAAATGGCAATAATATTTAGAAAATAAAATGTCAAGTAAAATAATATTTTGAGTTTGTAATATAAATATTAACAACAATTATTTGAATCGAACACTAAAATACAATTATTCTAGTCGGATACGAATCGTTAAAAAATTATTCTTCGATTAATACCTTTCATTATTTGATCATATTATTTGATCGCATTTGAAATTATTATGTTTCTTTTAAAACTGTTTTAAGCTTTATTTCCATCATTAATTATTTATTTAAATTTTAATAATCTATTTGTTTATCTTCTGGCTAGATACGGTAAAACTCCGACATAATATTTCTGTATTTAATTTGCTGTTTAAAAATCATGGTCACACTAATCTTTTAAAAAAATAATTTAAGTTAGTGTTTCATATATATAAACATAATATGAATAATGCATATTTTATTTGTTATACGTTTAATGGCAGTTTTCAAGGTTCACTCAGGTAAGCTAATTTTTCCTTGCTCCAATTCCTGCGCATTACTATTTGTAAGACCTAAAGGTCTACAAAGTAATTTTTCCCGCCCCAAGCCCGAATTATAAAATAATTTGTCCGACCCGATCTCAACCCGATCCGACTAAATTTTTTTAAATTTGAGTGTGAATATTATAATATCAAAAAACAATTAAAAATTATGTGTATTGTTTTAAATAAAAGTTTATTTGACCGTCATAATATAATCAATATTAAATTAAGTTGCTTTTTATTTAAATTGATAACGTGTACTTTATATTCAGCTTAATATTAAATAAGTTTAAATTCGATCGAATTTAAAAGTTATTGCGATTATATAAAAATAATGTGCATGATAATATGATATATCTTACTATCATTTTCAATAGTATCAGTTAGTGAATAATTGTGATATATAAATAATGAGGAGTCGAATTTGTCAGGCTTTAAACAAGTCTTCCTATCTTCAATGGCCCTACAAGTCGCTGAAAGCGCTCTTTCACTGTTAGCCCAGGAAGCAGGGATATCCAGGAATTTAAGCCAAAACACTTAAATTGGGAAAGCCGCTTTGATAAATCTTCCACCAATTTAAGATTTGGTAAACGATTTTAAATATAGAAAATTTGAGGCTATTTAATTAAATAGATATTAGATAAATATGTTTTAATTAACCTGATGGAATATGATGTAAATAAAATATGTAATAATAATGCAAAAATATAAAAACAAAATATTTTCTTAAACGGATGTTATGTAAGATAAAAATTTAAGTTAAATGACATGTTATTCTGATGACATTTTAATGATAAATGTGTTAGATAAAAATGGCATATTATTTTAATTGCCATTATGAATTAAAATGATTATTTAGGATATTTATTTACTGGGTCGGACACCTCTTACAACTCGAGCCTGAAAATAAAAGTTTTTTATGTCCGAGCTCGGGTCGGGCTACGCACAACCCATGCCGTGCTGACCTCTAGTGACCCAATATTCTCATGTGATTTATTATCACTTTCATTCCTGTCGTCTTGTGACCGATTCCATTATTTATAATTGCATCTCTTACCCGATCATCTTACATGCCTAAGCCATCTCAGTTTATTTCTTATATTCCCCCTTCCAATAGCTTCTATTTCAATCATTCTTCGCAAATCCTTGCTTGTTATTCTTTTTTTACCTCTGATACGATAAATTTTAAACTACAAGAACTACACTTTATTTTTAATATCCAAAATAAAAAATAGTATATAATAAAATCGATATACTTTATATTTTTTACAATCAATAAAAATAATAACTATTTGATTGACATTCTTTTAAATATAATACTATATATCTAAGTATAAATATTTTATTATTTACAACATGTCCACCCAAAAAAGGCCAAGGACATGTGCACTAAATAAATGAATATTAATTTACAAAATGAACATACTAAAAATTTACCACAATAAAATTTTTCAATCATCTTGTCTTAACAATTTAATCTCTTCCATTTTTGCATCTGTGTATTCCTCTCCATTTTTAGATGAGTCTCGAATTTCTTCCGGTTTCATAGAATAACTAGTATTACATACACCTGTAAGATCAAAATTACTTCTTTTCATGGACTTTTGTAAGGAATTCATTGTTCTATCTCTTGAATGTAATCTATTTCCTTGATACGTCCTAGGCGGCCAAACACGATTGCCATAATATTTAACTCGAGAATCCAATTCATTTACTTTATTATAATCATGAAAAAAATATAATAAAAATTCTTTTAACATCATAATAATACTTTATACACCCTTTTCTTTTTAAAACAAATTTCAACTTTTGTTTTTCCTAATTCACTATTTCTCCTAATTCACTATTTCATGTTTTCTTATAAACACAAATTATTTTAAACCTTTGCATGTTTTGAATCATTTTATTTCTATTCAAAAACATTTTATTTGCTTCATTTTTCATTAATAAACAACACTTCTGTTTTTATTTTACATTTTATTAATTAAACAATTTAACTACACAGTTCGTCTTGTTTTTATCTTACATTTTATTTTTATCTTACAAACAACACACTTCAATAAACCTTTTCAACCAAGAAATTTATATATTTACCACACTGTCAAAAAAGACAAAATTACAAAAATAAAAAAAAAACAGAAATGTAAATGTAAATGACAAACTAGAGAACCAAATAAAAAGACCTAGGCAATGATCTAAATATAGAAATAATTTATTCAAATCACTAAAATCACAAATATAATAAAATCTTCTTCTTTATTAGTAATTCAACAACAAAAATTACAATTAATTTCAAAAAAAATATTAATTAATCATTTTATAAAAAATTAATGATGTAAATGGTTTTATAAAATTTAATATCAAAAAAAAAACTGATCAAGAAAATGATTGCAGTTTTCATATAAAAAAAATTAATAATAAAAATTACTTTTTATCAAAAACGATAAAAAAATATCTGATTTAAAATGATTGACATTTTAACTATATTAAAAAAAAGTATCATTTATGACATGCCACCCCTTTATGGACCAATGGCATGTATATATAAAAAATGTATATGTATATACATTTTTGTTAAAAAAAATGGTCGATATATAACGGTGTTGCATGATCAATTAAATTGCTATAACAGATTTGTAAAATTTTATAAAGTCCTTCGATTTTATTTGATTAATTTAATAATATCATGATTACCTTAAATATTTCAAAAAAATAGCTAATTTCAATGTGAATGATCCATTGTGATAGTGAATATAACTATGGGAAACACCAAACTCTAAAGGAACAATAGATATTTCTTAAAGCATTCATATTTTAAACATTAACATTAATTTGTTTTGTCGGTGATAATAAAATCTTTGTCAAATCATTTGCTTCGTTTTCCACTTCGATTTTTTTTTTCGTCTGCGATATCCATTCGTAATAAAGAATGTTCATTGCCTAAATTCATCATTGATGGTACTGTGGTATTCCTTCGTGGAGTTTTGGAATAATGAATGACGTTATTATTATGAGACGAATGTTTCAAAAAGCCTGTTTCTGCCAAGATGTGAAAAGCGGCGACGTAGAGAAATGTAGCCCCACTGAATAACGTGGCCATAGCGTAAAGGGATTGGATCTCTATTTATCTACATTGACGTTATACATCGTAATCGGGTGGTTGTCATTGCTCCGAAAGGTTGAGTAAACGATAATTCATGAGCATTGGCTTGATAATTAACTGGAAACGAGTCTGATAATGGGGAATACGTTTCACATGTGATTTTGGCAATTTATTTATATTTATATTATTATTATTTTATAATAATTAATTTTTTTTTTAAAAAATCATTGAAATACAAACACAAAAAAATAAAAGAAAATAAACTATCATAAGTGACCGAAAAAAAAAATACTAATGATATTTATGCCACAAAAAAAATATTTTATCCACAACTAACCCAGTCATGCGAATCCCCAAGTCAGTATTATTCATTCCTTAATATTAATTACAAAATTAGAGGCAACTTCCAATAAAAATAAGTTAGGGGACCAAAAAAAAATATACAACAGAAGGGCTGGGAGAAAAAAAAATTTTACCAAATGTTAAAGATTCTCTTTTCAATATACATTATAAAGTCCCATAAAAAGTCATTTACTAAATTGATATTGCAACAAATATGTACTTTTATGTCTGGCAACAACATAAAACCAGATAAAAAAAATAACAACTGGCCGACACTGCCGATTGAAAAATTAAATTTTTATCAATGTGAATAATCAAACATAACACGACCAAAAAAAAACTTTTCAACTAACATTGAGAACAACAACTATTTTAATACCCTGAAAAACTTCTCCATTCATTCAAGAAAAGATAAAAACAAAACTTTTCTATTCATTTAAAAAAATGACTTATTGTCCCTATCATCTGGCAGACAAAGAACATTCCTTAACGAACAAAAAGAAAAACCTTTCCAATATCATTAAAATGGTTAAAAACTTTTTAATAAACCCGTCTGAATTGAACTATAAATTGGATCGAAACTGACCATAACAACTTGTATGCATTGAACAATATTTAAAAAAATGATCCAATATACGGAACCCCGACCCGATATGAACCGTTAAAAAAATCGGGTATATCTTCTCATTATATTTCCCCCATCTTTATTTTACATCCACTTGATAATCATTAAGACATCCTAACTTGTCTTCGAAAATTATTTCATATTTCTTCATTAAAAGAGATATGTTTTCACGCATTTTATATAGTTCATGAATACCAATAGCAACCATTGGGTTTTCATCAATGCTAATATTGTTTTCAACCATTAATTCCGTGGAATTTACATACCTATCAGAATTAAGGGTTGAATTATCTTGTTTTACGGTTAAATCCGTCCCTTCTATTTCATGAATATTTTTTCGAGCGTTATTAGCAATATTTTTGTTCTTAGTCGCATTTAAGACCGAACCATTATGTACGGCAAAAATATTCCAATAATTATTGAAAGGACCTAACTGAACAATCCAATCCCACCCCATGATGGTTTCCACATCTTTCTTTACTACCCATAAATCTAGGAAAAATGTGGTATCATGGAAAATTACTCCCAACTTAGTTTTTCCCAAAACTATTATATCAGACCCATCAAATTGTCTGGCACACATAGATTCTTTTTCAAGTCTACCCCCAGGCCAATACTTATAATAATTTCTTCTAAACATTATGGAAATGCTAGCCCCTGTGTCGAACAACATGTCGATGTCCCTCGAATCAACTCTTACAGAAACTCTTGGACAAGGACAAGGTTCGACTAATCTCTCAGTCATTAAAATATCATATGTTTTAATTGACTGATCAAGATTAATTTCGTCTGAAACATCAGTTTCATGAGAATTCCCATTTGAACATAAATTCAACTCGGAATTTAGTGGTTCATTAACAATATTCATATATTTTTTTGCAATATAACTGGGATATTTTTTCCATCTGAAAGAATTAACATTCCTTTCATCGGAATATTTAACAATACCCTTAGGATATTTCTCCCATTTAAAATCATTAGAATCTTCATTATTTTTATTTTTATCATCAGGATAAAAAAAATTTCGGTTAAAACCACTGCTTTTACGAGAATCATATCTCATTTCAGCATGGTTATTTACTTAATTATTATTTTTCCCTCCCGATCTCCTACTTACAATATGATTACACCTGCAATCATATAGTCAATTTTCGAACAATTTATGGCTACATGTCCCGGTTTGTTACATTTAAAACACAAACGGGATTTACCATAATTCGATCGTAGAACCTCACATTTATTCGTGTTGGTACCAGAAATTTTTCCAACATTAGAATTTTCTAATGTCAATTTCTTTAACGGAAAACCCTCACGAAAATTTTGTTCTTTGACCACACAGGTCTCTACCTTGTGGCTCCTATACCCACAGCGGGTACATTTCAAATCTTCTAAAATTTTCTTATGACCAGAAAAACCATTTTTTTCAACGGAGATATTTTTTCCATTTGACCATGTCGGACCCCATATTTGGCCTTTATTATCCTTACTATTCGCAATAACCAATTTATTTATATCTTGATATATAATCTTAATCACTTCTTTTATTTCTTTCAATTCTTGGAGGATAACTACAGATCTCTCCACAATATCCAAACGATCATCGTTATTACATTCCAAAGTTTCTACCATTTTTGGTCTGCCGTTCTTGATTTCATTTAAAACCACATTTAAATTACTTTCCAAGACCGA